CGATTCATTCTGATTTCAAACGCCACACCTTTTGCTCTGTTCCATCTCGCAGTCGAGCGGCTGTCCCACTGGCAGTAGAGCGACACCTCTCGACAGGAACCGATGACCTCGGCCGCACCGGGGCCGTCGCGCCCGCCCAACGCGCCGCGCACCCTGACGCCCAAGTCCGTCTCCGACCCCGTCCTGCGCAACGCCCTGCGCTACACCATCTCGGCGCGCGAGTACGCCACGCTGCACAAGTATGTCATCTCGCGGTCGCGCGTGCTAAGGCGGACGGCGCCGAGCGTGGCGACGGTCGAGAAGATAGTCGATGGCGACAAGCCTGGCCGACGGCCGTCACATGCTGTGCCGCCGAGCGACAGCTACAATACACGGGCGATCCGCGACGCGCTGCGCTTATTTTGTCGGCACGGGCGGCGGGCATGAAGACGTATGATGTCTTGATGAAGAGGGTGCTTCGGCAAGAAGAGAGTATGTTCCCCGGGCTGTCCCTGCATGGCCTCCTTTGCGTGGCAGGGCCACCATGGTGTGAAGCAGCATGCACTGACTCAACCACAGCACGAACGCGAAGAAGCAACCGCTGTACAACTCACCCACCTTCCGTCTGTCGCTTTCTCTATCCTCCATCCTGCTGCTCTATCGCCTGCTCTTCCGCTTCATGTCCAGGTTGCGCGGCCACCTGCTCGACGATGCGGCGATCCCCTTCCGACGACGCAATCCCGTACCGCCGCCACACTGACGTCGCCCTATGCACCCGCCGTCGGTGCCTCGCTCGCCGGTCTGGCCCTCGGCGTGTACCCGGCGCAGCAACTGCGCGTGTCGGTCGCCATCTACGCCATGTTCCGCGCCCTCGAGTTCGGCTGGAATCTGTGCGAGGGCGAGGGCATGATCTGGGGCTTCAAAGCCGGTGGCCGCGTCAAGAGGGAACGGCCCTGGTGGTGGGGTAGCTGGATGATCCAGCCTTTTGCCTTTGGACAGCTGCTGCACGCCGTCGTCTTTGACCGCGACTGCTTCCCCGCGGCCTACGGAAACCTCATCTTCAATAACTCGACAGCCTATCTGCAACAGAGGCCCGCCGGCTATCCGAGCCACCTGGTGTGGCCCAAGACGTTGGAGATTGTCGACAGCCTTGCACAGATGGCAAAGCTCAATTGGCCGTACGTTTCCATGGCGCGCTGCTTGGGTCCGAGAAGACAGCTGACAAATGACAGACCCTACATCTCGCCCACTCTGTTCCCCAACAAGGAAACGCTGCCGGCATCACTCGCCGCCGTCGCGCCCCTGACCTCGACCGCACACCCCATCATCACCTCTCTCTCGTGCGCGACCCTCCACCCGTCTGACCCGTCTTGTCTGCGTACCTACCTGCAGTTCTGGCTCAGCTCGTTCCCGCCCTTTATGCGCATGCTCCTCGGCTTCTACGGCGCGTTTGCCATTCTGCCCAACGCCGGCGCCAAGCTGTACCACGCGCCCGTCGCCGTCCTGACCAAGGTGCTCGGCCGCGCGCTGCGGAGCTCGACGTTCCTCGCCGGCTCCATCTCGACGGCGTGGGCCTCCATCTGCGTGTTCCAGACGTGGCTGCCGCGCCACGTGCTGCCGACGCTGCGGTTCTTCCTCGGCGGCTTCGTCGCCGGTCTCTGGGCCTGGGTCGAGCGGAAGCAGGGCCGGGGCATGTTCCTGTACTCGGCACGGGCGAGCGTGGACTCGCTGTGGAAGGTCGGCGTCAAGAGGCGGTGGTGGAAGGGCATGCGCGGCGGTGACGTGTGGGTCTTTGTCGCAGCGCTCATGGTGACGGGCGTCGTGTACGAGAGGGACGCGCGGGCAATCCGCGAGGGTAGCTGGCGCCGTGGCGTCAGCTGGATCCGGGGCGAGGGCTTGCGGGATTGGAGTCTCGAGGAGGACGAGGCGCAAGGGGAGGGCGAGGGGCAGGAGTAGAGACTCGTAATCAGTGTTGTAATGAAGTGTTGTAATGAAGTGTTGTAATGCAGTGTTGTAATGAAGTGTTGTAATGCAGTGTGTACGAATTCGTTCTACGCAGGCTGTCTACTTCTATGGCATATCGTCATTGTGTTTGCCCATGTTGTTCTCGTCATCCTCTCCTTGTGCTGACCCAGTCACGCCGTCTCCTTCTCGAGGTAGTTTGCCACCTCGCCGAGCCACCACACGTGCACCCGAATATCATCCGTCAGCTCTGGGTGGAAACTCGTCGCAAAGATA